CATCCCAAGCCCCTTACACTCTTCACCACTCCAATACCTACCAGTTCCCACTATCAACTTCCCCCTTAATTGCAACGTAACGCAGTCCAGAGCAGAAACTACCTGACGTCCCTTTGGAGGTCACATCCCCAGTGCCCTCAGAAGGCCTGGCAAACATTAACTCGGCCATCATTCCACACAGCCTTCCAGCTGCCTCTGGGGTGGACTAGGGCAGTTTTTTACTGGCGCTGCTCCTAAATAACCAATGTAGGACGCAGCAAAGCTCTGCTCAGGAAGGCTGCAGGGTGCATTTGTCCAAGATGGAAGAGAGCCAGGGCCAGGAGCGTGCAGCCCCTGGCTTTCCAGGGACATGGTAGGCTGAGGCTTTAGCTGTAGTTCTGCTGAAAACAGTTTCCTGCATTGCTGGCAGCTGCAATTTCCTCAGAAGCCTTGTTCCACTCTGTGTTTTCCTTAAACCTGCTACTGAGGTCACGGGATGATGCAGCAGCCCCAGTTTGCATACCAAAATGCCTTTTTCTCCTGACCATTTGTACTTTTCCAGGAGAAAAAGAAACACACACAAAAAGAGGAACAGTAAGATCTCAAATCCCAAAGGCAAATAACTCCTGCTCTCCTGCCCAAATGGACTGTGTAAGACCTGATTTCTGAGAGATCTGCCTCCTCTTTTGAACACTGGAACCAACAGTGCTGTGGGCAGGACACTGTCACCAGCCCCTATGTCTTCCCCTGATAGTCCCTGTAAGGTAGGAGCCCCAGCCCACAGAATAAGAGCCTCCCATGGCTATGGGGACATCCAGTACCGCTCATGGCTCCTGTACTTTCCTTTCTGTGGATACATACTGCCTTCACCGGGCAGGGATAAGCCAGTACAATACTGCCTGCTGAAAGTATGGGGTTTGGTGCTGTTGCCTATGATCCTGCAGAATGGAGGCGTCATGCTGCTGTGGGATCCATGGAGGCTGAGGGAGAGCCACCTGGCTCTCAGCAGATCCTCATCCAGCTACAGCCCCTCCAGAGAGACCTGCTTGTTCCCTTAGGACCAGCCACATCCCTACACTACAGTCACTGCAGGAACAACCGGACCTTTCAGGGAAACCCTTCCCTCCAACCCTTTATCTCTGTACTCCTCTGACCTGCTCCTGGGCCCAAAGCCCTTCAGAGACGGGAGCCTGCAGGTGCCTGGTGGGCTCCCATGTCCATCTCCTTACCTGCCACGTTCAGCTGCCCGCCCAGGAACCAGGAGACCTTGCCCTGGCGCAGGTCACAGTCCTGGACAGAGTGAAAGGGGGTGATCCAGGTGAGCCGGCTCCTCCCCAGCGCTCCCCAGAAGGCGTCCCGCTGCTCCACCGACACCTTGTACAAGCCCTGGTGGTCCTTGGGTCCAGGGAAAGTGATGGCTTCGGGCATGTAGGCAGTGAGGGGCCCTTGGCTCCAGGCAGTGAGGGGCCCGTGGCTCCAAGGTCACAGTCCTGGACAGAGTGAAAGGGGGTGATCCAGGTGAGCCGGCTCCTCCCCAGCGCTCCCCAGAAGGCGTCCCGCTGCTCCACCGACACCTTGTACAAGCCCTGGTGGTCCTTGGGTCCAGGGAAAGTGATGGCTTCGGGCATGTAGGCAGTGAGGGGCCCTTGGCTCCAGGCAGTGAGGGGCCCGTGGCTCCAGGCTCAATCATTGCAGGGCACCTGCCTCTCACCCAAGAGGTAGGTGGCCACTCAGTACACTTGGCCCAGGCGAGACACAGCCCTGTGGAAGCTGGGGTGACGTGTCCCTCAGCTGACCAGACACAAAGCTCCCCCGTGGAGGAAGCCCAGGTACCTCTTCTCCTCTGCCTTGCTCCTCTCCTCCTCTCCCAGAGCACTATGAGGTGGAAAAAGAAATTCAATCCCTTTAAGGGAGGGAAAAGGGGCGGGCTGTAGAAATATTTGACTGAAAATAGACTCCAGGCTAATCTGAGTCCTGACAGCCGCCCTTGAACAGGAGCCAGGTTCAGCGGGTGCCTGAGCTTCCCACAGGGGCCAAGGTGCCTGGGTCAGGCTCCAACAGCCTGTACCACTCCCCTGGGGCTGCATCCCGGAACCCCTCTGCTTTGTCCTCGCTCACCTCCCTCCTTCCACTCGTCCCCACCCCCACAGCCACCCTGCTGCAGCCCCTCAGTCCTCCGCCAGCTGTGAGGGCAGTCAGGGCAGCCCGCCTGTGAAAGTTAGCGTGCTCATCTTGGGAGTAACGGGACCATCCCCTTCCCAGAATTAAGGCTCATTCCCTGCAGAGTGCTAGACTGTGCAGTCTCTGGTGGGCTGGGGAAGGTTTTTCTCCTGCGGCTGTCAGCTGCAAGAAGAGGATAATACTCCATCCCATCTCACTGCCGGGCAGCTGTCAGAGCTGTCCCCTCCAGCAAGCTGGGCTAGGCTCTCTGCCTCCTCCCAAGCACTTCAGACTGGTCTATATGACAGGGCAGACTGGGAACACTCAATGAGGGCATGGCGGAGCAAGGGGGTGGTGGCTTGGCATAAAACACTGCCTCCCATCTCCCCACGCTGAGACCTCACACCACCCACTGTAGCAGAGCTCAGCTGCCTCCCTGCCTCCAAACAGGTTTTTTTTCTGCCTTCCTTTCCTTCAGGCCCAACATAGGTAGTGTTTCTTAAGGCAAAGCTTGCGGATTTCCTTTATTTATTGACCAAGTTCCCCTCTCTTTCCATAAGACACAAGACGAGAGCAGAAAAAGGCTCCACCTGCAAGCAGGGCTGTCCTCAGCTGGGCACACCAGTGGGATCAACAGCAGACATGAGAGGGTTAATAGATCTCTTTGCTCTTCATAGTGTGACATTGTTCGTGGTCTGCAGGGCTGGTATGTTTGAACAGGCTGGACACTAGTATGGGAGACAGGTACTGTTTGACGGCGGGTGCACTCATCCCAGACCACATGCTTGGGTTTGTATCAGAGCTGCCCGCAGAGACAGGTGAGGACCTACAAGGGCTCTGTCCCCCTAGGGAAACACAGTCCTGTGGGTTTACAGCTCCTCCACAAAGTTAAGCCCAAGCAGCCTCATCATTCCGCAAGCAAAGTCTCATTTCCTATGCACATCTGCTTTGCCTCAGCCTTTTTCCCCTCTAGGACATCAAGTTTTCCCATAAAAGTATCCCCAGATGCCCTTAGCAGGGCAGGCAAATCTCAGCTCCTCCTTTGGTAACTCAATGTGGGCTCCCGCTGCTCTCAAATCGAAGCTCACCTTGCTGAAAATCCCCATCAGTGCTCTTCCCTCTCAACAAGCTCCCTCCACTCCTGCAGGCTGCTCCTGGCAGAGAGCCTGAGCCTGCCCCAAGGTCTGCCCCGCTCTCTAACGCCGGGCACCTGTGATAGGGGATGACCCAAAGCACCAGGCTGTTCTGGATGCTGAAGTGACTTGTCTTCTGACTAGTTTCATGTCGTGACACTTAACTTCTGCTCCAGGTAAAAATGCTCTTCCTTCAGCTTTGTCTTTCACCACAAAGGGAGAGCAGCACTCAAACCCCATCTTCTCCATGGCTGGATGAGAAGGAAGCTGAAGACCTCTCTCTGTGCTGCTTTGGAGCTGCCACCTCTCTCTGGCTATGGCCTGACATCCAACTCCCTCTCAGCTTTGGCTGAATTCACCCTCCCTCAACGTGGGTGACTGGACTCATACACAGTGTTCCAGTTTAGTTTTATTCTTGTTCATATCTTTACAGAAAATGGCACATAAATCACAGATGCTGGATGACTAGAAGTTGTTACAGCTCCATATCTTAAACACCTCAAAACTGAATTCTTTTCTCACTGTATATACATTATTTACACACCATGGGCTATCATCTAACACATCAAACAACTGGGGGATGAAGACAAACGGGATGGATGGGGAGGCTTAACCTTTGACGGAAAACAGTAGCTCTAGGGAAAGGGTGCTCACAGCTGAAAGCAGGACAGAAAGGGTCACCTGGAAGTCACTGTCCTACAGCTTTCGAGGGGGAACAGCGCCTTACTGGGATGGGACAGCGATGGTACCATGGAGCAGGTTTGGCTGCATGGGTCTGCATGTGCTTGTATGGGGCTGACTGGGAGACATGTACACACATTATGGGGTGTATCAGGGTGGATCTGCATGGCTGTCGTTCCCTTTAACACTCAGAGAGCAAGCTGGACAAACAGAATTAAATAAATGCACTGGGCGGATGTTGTTTTCTCGCCTGGAATAATGTAGTCGGTAAAAAAGTTCGCTGTTGTACCCCTCTGCAGGGGTGTGGGAGGCTCCCCGGGCTTTGGCGTTCGGAGCAGAGCCAGAGCCGGCTGCAGTGGGTGCCCCTGCCGGAGCCAGTGGCATGAGCTGGGCTCACCTCGAGGTGCCGGATGGGACCAGGGAGCGACACCCGCAGACTGAGCCTGCCTCTCCCTGCCAAACGAAGACAAAACTCAACCGCCCCAAAGCTGCGACCCTTCCCCAGCAGACCCCAGCGCTGGGTGGAGAGAGATGGGTGGAAGGTGCAAAGCACCCTGGATGGAGAGTCGCCATTCCACACAAACACTGCCGTGGGCTTGTCCCACGGCAGCCTGGGGGGAAGGTGGTGGGTCTGCCTGGCACACGGCAGGACAGGGCACCAGGGGAAGGTGCTCAGGTAGCACTGGGGAGAGACGCGCACCAAGGAGGGGCATGGTAGCAGGGGACAGGCTCCCTCTGAGATGGCGGGTGGGGTCTGGAGCAGGAGGAGAGAGCCCCGGAGCCGGTTGCGAA